AAAAAAAAAAAAAAAGAAAGAAAACAAGCTTTGGCAATTTATGTCAGCATATAGCATGTATTTCTAAGAAGCCCTTGAATATTCATTATGAACTTAGCAAAGGTGTCTTCCCAATTCACATGAACTAATTCAGAATAGCCAGAATTAAGAACTCATTTAAGATTATCATAATCAAACCTGTAAACCTCTCTAAATCAATCAAGACTACTAAACAAAGTACATGAAAATTTGAGATATCTGATTAAAAAAAAAAAACAGAACTGCTGTGATTTTTACCTAATTATCACTCTTGTGGTCTCATCCTGCCCACCACTGGCCTTCATCTCCCTGGCCTCTCAAAGTTCCAATCTATAAACTATCTATCTTGAGTTTAGTTTTCCAAAGATTATGTCTTATTACGGTTGTGCGTCCCTTCCCAATGATCAAGAAACAAACAATAACTTTTCTCATAAATACAAATTACACAGAATATGCTCAAATGTTAGGTATATTACCTTAATCTTTTTCTTTAAGGAATGATAGTTTTCCAAGAAGCCTTTAGACTCTATAATCACTTTTTATTTTAAAATTATGCATATGCATGCATATCTGTGTAAAAATATGTATACTTAAGTACAATTGCCCTTTGAAGCCAGCAGAAGACACAAGGCCCCTTAAGCTAGAGTTACAGGCAGTTATGAGCAGAGAATGAAACTCGGCCCTCTCAAAGAAGAGTGAGTTCTTAAAGAACTGAGCCATCTCTCTAACAACACCTAACTTTTCTCTATAGTTCTTGTGATATTGTCAGCTTGATAGAATCTAGAATTATCTAGGACACAAACCTCTGAGCATGCTCCCAAGAAAACTTCCAGACTGAAGTAACTGAGGTGGGAAAGCTCCCATAAGTAGGGGTGGCAGCATCCTTCAGGTTAGAGCCTTTGAATCAAAAGAAACCAAGTTCATCAAAAGCACTCATCCTCTTCCTTACTGTGGGGCAATGTGACCCACTGCCCCATGTTCCTGTCACCATGCCTTGCCTGACATGATGGAGTAAACCCTCAAACCTTGAGCAAAAGAAAAAAAAAAAAATCTTTCCTTCTGTTGCTTAAATACTTTGTTGCAGCCATGAGAACAGGTAAGTACTACAGTTCTACCAGGGACATACTATTCTTGATTTACAAGCAAGAAAGGTAAACAGTTTGAAAGTAAGACTCAATGTTTGATCCCAACTATTTCCAATGCATGGGACAAAGCTTAATTATGGTCACTAAATATCCCAGTTCCCAGCCTTCAGTACATATCTTAAGGCCATTCTTTTGGACCCTTTGTATTTGCCTGAGACCATGTAACTAACTCCAAACAACATAGTTTATCTGCTTAGGTATCTGAATACTCTCTTCTATCAAAGCTTGTGAGATAACCCCAATTAACTTCATCCTACAGTATAAAAACATGAAGGAGAGACCTCTATCAACTTGTAAACTCTATGGAAGTCTAGAAATTTCCCTTTGTTGGGAGAATACCCTAAGATGTTTCATTTATCACAACAGTATAGTTTAATTCATTCTGAATGCTACTCGCTATCAGTGTTCTCAAAAGTCAAACACATTTTAGTGGGTAAACAGATAAAAGGAAAAGTTAAATAAGGTCCACTGTGCTGTTCAAACTCCCTCATGAAAATTCAGGCATTATGCAGTTGCCAAAGTCATGAAGAGCAAGGAACTGTCTAAGTGCTTAACTTTTGTTCTAGATGTCCTTAGGTTGTACCACAATATCAATGACAGCATTTAAGACAAAGTTAAGTGGCTCTGAGCAGGCAGAGATTTTTTCCCCAGTGAGAACTTTTTGGCTCTTACAACTCAAGAGAAGGTGCAAATAGTAGTGGATGACTAGAGGTCAGGCATGCTCATAAACATCCTAAATGCACAAAGGAACTCCATAACAAAGAACTGGCCAGCCCAAACACTAACAGGTCACTACCAAGTGTATAAATTCTTCCTAGTTTGCAACAATCAAAGGGTAAGGAAGGAGTGAAGAACACAAGATTCAAACACAACTTACTTATTTCTTAACATGGTCATTATATTTCTTACAAACTCATACTGTGGAGTTCCTATTCACCCCCATGGCAGTACTGTGTTGGCTGAAATTATAAACGAGGGTGATACAGAAATCACAAGAGACCGATTTGTAAATGACGCTAATTTAGCAAATTAATACTTCATCAGCCTAGAAAGGGAATGATTTATTTCAAAAAGTCATACTAGTCATCCTAACTATGCTGAAATAAAAGAATGATTAACTCCATGCGGTACGTGTGAAGCCAGAGCATAGCTTTGGAAATCAGTTCTTTCCTTCTACCATGTGAGATACAGGGATCAAACTCATGTCTTCAGACTTGGTGGCAAGCACTTTCACCACAGAGCCAGTCATCACACTGGCTCCTATTAACCTCTTCTATGAGCAGTCTACCAATAAAGCTTTTAATAATTCAATATATTTCATCTATACACTCCTTATATTTTGCAGATTCATCAAAATCAGGCATTGTCTTCATTAACAATGTAATGGTTACATGCTACAAGTTGAGGTTTCTTTATTTGAAATTTTGGATATCATGTTCTTCTGAATTATGGACTGTTTGCCTTCACATAGTCTGCTTGAGAAGCAGTCATGTGTGTAAGTATGAACTTACACACTTCATATCTATCATGCAGACTTTCCATAGTCCAAGCAATTTTGTATAATTTTTTTTTTAAGTTTTTGTACATGAAACCTAAAGTTTAATGGTATAGCTTTTTCTACTTATGGTATCAATGCTCAGTTTTAAATTTTGGAACAATTCAGATTTAGGATTTTCAGGTTAGGGATACCTGAAAAAGGCAAAAAGAAAATGCTCTCCTTTTCAAATGACCAAAAGACCTAAGGAAAGGTTAAGTAAGTAGAAAGCACTCTTTTTGTGAATGAACACATTTTATATTATCTCTATGCACAGCTGCCAATTAGTTTAACGCCAACTTCCTAGATTCTCTTCTCTCAAATGATATCCAAAGACACTTGGCAAGCATTTATTTAATAAGCACCTATTAAACTAAATCTTTTAACTCTATTTAACAAAAAGTTATTTCTAAGCTTAGAGAAAAATAAACAAAATCGAGTAACTAGTTCTCAATGTGTAGGCACTACAAAGAATCAAACATTAGCCAACCTAGCCTGGGTGTGAGGGTCTGGGACATGTGCCAAAGGAGGGTCTATTTAACTGAGGAAAGCAGATGAAGCAGGTAAAGAATTCAGTGAGGTAAGGCAAGAGTCGGTGTTGAGTAAGGAGAGTCAGGGTGGGTGTTGAATGAGGAGAGTCAGGGGGTGCTGAGTGAGGAGAGTCAGGGGGTGTTGAGTGTGGAGAGTCAGGGTGGGTGCTGAGTGAGGAGAGTCAGGGTGGGTGCTGAGTGAGGAGAGTCAGGGTGGGTGCTGAGTGAGGAGAGTCAGGGTGGGT